GTTCAAGTCCAATTCAAGTCCCAAGTCATTGGTGTAAAAGTCCAAGTCAAGTCACAAGTCTTAGAACATTTTTTCAAGTCAAGTCTAAAGTCATAAAATTAATGACTCGAGTCTGACTCGAGTCCAAGTCATGTGACTCGAGTCCACACCTCTGCAAATCAGTACCAAGTTTTGCAGTATTGTACACAACTAGTCGCTGGATGTTGTGTTAGTAAAATGAACTGCGCAGCAAATCACATTATTTGTCAGATAATTTAACCAAAAGCTTCTAAAAGGTACCAGCAGTGAGAAGCAGACTGAGAGGTCTGTTTTATTGACTCTGACTAGCAGAGGTGTTTTTTTTCTTTCGGAGAAAAATGAAATGATTATTTGCTCGGACATAAACATTCCTTTTGTTTTGGCATAACACTCAAGCAATCATGAACTTTGGAAAAAAAATTGTGAGTCTGATTAAAACCTCACTGAAAGCCAGTGACTGTTTGTATTTTCTGACTCCAGGCTCGTGGTAAAAAGCGTCAGAAGGGCTGGTTCCCTGCTACTCATGTTAAAGTACTGGAATCCAGCAGTGGCAAGTCCACACCAGCACCTCAACCAGGTAACGCAGACACACACAGACACCACTTTAAGTCACTGGGGGAGGGCAAAAGTCAAAGCAGCATGCATTTTACAGCATTAATAAAATACCAGCGTGGATTAGGCAAAACTAATAACCTCACTGTCCTCTTCATATTCAGTCTGCCAGGTGATCGCCATATATGATTACACAGCCGCCAATGTGGAAGAGATGAGCTTCTCTAAAGGGCAACTGATCAACGTTTTAGACAAGAGTAACCCTGACTGGTGGAAAGGAGAATCCAACGGGGTTACTGGATTGTTCCCCACCAATTATGTTCAGATGACCACGGCGGACGTTGACCCCAGTCAGCAGTGTATGTAACTCTCTCTTCCATGTTGCTTCAAACCTGTATGACTAACTATTCTTAAGTGTTTGTTCATTTACCCGTACCTGCCTATCTGTGACCCTTGATAGTTTATTATCAGCTCGTCTGTCACACTTTTCTTCACACTGACCGTCTTCCCCCCCTCCCAATCTGTATTTCTCCCTCTCTCTTGTTCTTCGTTTGTTTCTCTTTTTAGGGTGGTAGAAAGACTCTTCCTCCTCCACCTCTTCTCCCTCTTCACCTCCCAACTTCAGAGAGACCCACTATCACACTCTGCTCTGACGGGCTGAAGTGATTGGACACTTATCTTCTAACTTCTCCCATTAAGCAAATTTCATTTTGTTCACTATATTTAAGACAACCTCAAGCAGCAGGTGAAAAATAAAAAATGAGGGGGGCTTGAGTAAATTAACTTGGGAGTGAAGCTAGTTTTTCATGACTATTTGTGGTGATTCTGTGACTTTTTGATTCCTTCGGTTCTTTTTTTTTTATTGTGAAAGTTGACGCTGAGTGATAGTGGGTTTCTCTGTGGCTTCTTCTTCCTTCGGTAGACACATTTCCTCCCTCATTCAGCCCAAACCTGTCTCTGCCATATGTTTCTCTTTTCCGTTATTGGCTCTCCAGTTTCTGGAGTTCTGCTCACACAAACCTAACTGTTCCTCAGAGATGTGTCTTTAATCAGACATGATGGTAAAGTGTTACTGCAGCTGCCTTAACTCTTGTTTCATACTAAAGATTGAGATCATGATAAACCTCAAAAATGTGAATAATTTTGAGTAGGATTGAAAAGGTCCGACTGCTGTCCTTCCAGTGAAATGTTATAAAGTCTGACCTGCTGTCTTAATGAAAGTGATTCAAAAAGGGAACAAAGAATCCAGTATGAGCATATCTGCATCAAACCTAGACTACAGCAGCAAACGTTTCTAGGACTTGCCTCACCGAGGTGCATTAGATGGTGCAAACTGCAAAGCTGAAGGTTGGGTGTCATGTTTCTACCTCCTGCATGCTTTTTACAGGCAGTTCACTCACTTAAATCACACCAAATATGGATGCATCTGAAGAAAAATATTTCCTGGAGTGTGCCATATGTGAGAAAGGAAAATATTCTGACTTAATTCTTGCTAAATTTCCCAAAGTTCATGTGGGAAAACAGCTTTAGAGTGAGTAAACCATTAAAGACATGGCCTGTTGTCACGCATGAACTCCAGATTGAAATGTTGTCCCTTGAAGTTTTCTTTCTTGTAGCACACAACAGAAAATGTTTCCTTCAGATGTGTTTGCACTGTCTGTTATCTCTCTGCTGCTGTTATTCCTACAAACATCAAGTGTCCAATCACATTTTTGTGATGTCTCGGTCTTGTAACTGGGGAAAAAGTTTTTTTTGTTTGTTTGTTTTTTATGGGTTTCATTTGTTTGTTTGTTTTTGGTTTTACAATGCTAAACCGGTTTGTTTATCCTAAACCTAACCAAAGTGTGAAACTAATAAGTCCATATATCTAAAAGCAATAATTTCATGTTTTCTTTTGCTTTCTCAGAGTTAACTAGTGTCAGTTTAATCCTTTCAATGGCCACAACTTCATCTTTAGATGGTTTTTGTCAATACTTTTTCCACTTTATTGATTCAAAGTTTCAGTGTCATAACAACCTGATGATTCATTTGCATTTAAGGTGTTACAGGTGTTTTGTTTCAGTTGATGGTACAACCATCTGGTTAAAGACCAGTTTATGTTCAATCCAGCTGCATTTGGATTTTGCATTTTCACATAGTTAAGGTTTAGAAAGGTTCAGGACTGCGGTGCATGTGTAAAAAGGGTGTTACAGTAAGCCTTGTTTTTAGAGGTGATATTTAAAGATGAGTGCTGCACTTTATATTAATGATGCTGCTTTTCTGCTGCTGCTCAGGGTGATTTTATTGTGGAAGGGAGTGAATGCATGTCTGCTGATAGTGTTAACCACAGGTTACATATTAAAATAAATAAAGAGGTACTGGTTAATGTTGGGATTGGGGATAAATTCAGATCAATGGGTGAAAGACTTTATATCCTGTGGATGCTCTCTTGGTGCACTGACTCCAGGGAGAAATTAGAAATGGTACAAAAGAGTTTGATGACCTGTAATGCAAGAAGAGCTAATCATTGTTAAAGGGTTTGTTACGTTTTTGGGAGTGGGGAGAGCCTGTATTTGTTTTATCACAGTTTATTTGTTGGGATTTCAGGTGAAAGGCTGCCATAGAGAACAACACTAACAGTGTTTGCACAACTGACTTTAAAGATATACCAAACATTTGTGCTACAAAGGTGATGGAAGATCTGTGTGGTATATTTTCTGAATCTGAAATAAAATAAATAAAATAAAGATTGTGTGAGTTGTGCTCAGTGTTTACATGTTCAATAAAATCCACACGATTAAGATGACTGAATAGATGAAAACCATCTCACCTTGTTTTTGTGATTTTTTTTTTTTTTTTTTTTTTTTTTTTTTTTTCCTTCCCTGTTTACATGCATGGATCTGATTTGTAATTTAGTCCCAAAAGATTGCTTCTTGAATAGTTGGGATTTGTTTCTCTGCTTTTGTTTAATGTTATCTATGTGACTACCTTATCTAAAAGCATGTGAATATCCACAGTTTTATAGACTTATTAATGGATGAAGGTGCAGAAAAATAGGAGAAGGTCAGGTTTATCCACCTTCTTCTCCCCCCCCCCCCACATTCAAGGTTGGAAAAAAAAAAAAAGGACTTCCTTTCCTGTTTTGGTACAAACAGATTTATCCCAGCAAGAAGATAACGGCACAGAAAGAGCCAAACTTGACAGGAGAGGCAGAGTACAATCACACTGAGCAAACAGCCAGACAGCTACAATCAGTCGTAGCAATGGATTCACAGAACAGATTTCACTTTCTAAACCTTTGGGATGACACAGCAGATGAGAGTGAAACAAGAGAGGGAGAGGAAAGAAAGGAGTTTATAGGGGATGAGCAGTCAGTTTGCATGGGATCCTCACAGTGGATGAATGGGCGCCCTGTATCAGGTAAGTGTGTGTTAGACGGTTGTCGTCTGCCACCTGCTTTTTTTTAAACCTTTCTGAAAGTAATGTATGAGAGGGTACAGAGGAGGAATCGTTTTTGTTTTCCTGTGCAGACAATTCCAGCAGGAGGCAGTAAACGCAAACCTGGGCTATCGGTACAAGCAGTCATTTGTGGGTTTTGTTGAAGTGGATGGACTGGTTGGTTGGTTTTCTTTTTCATGCAAACCTCTCCTCTGGGTGTTGCTCCTGTTTTGCAGGGTGTGCGGACTTGAACAGCCTGGATTCACTGAGCCCTCAAGAGAAGAAGAGGCAAGGTTACATCCATGAGCTGATAGAAACTGAGGAAAAATATGTGGAAGATTTGCAGATAGTGCTGGAGGTAATTTCACACAAATCTGCTGAATAATACATGTAAAAGCAAAAAGTAGCGTTCTCAAAAATCACACCAAGAAAAGTTACACGCTGCAGTTCTTACGGTGTTGTGTGTGTGTGAGTTGGGACTTGGTATGTTTTGTAATATTTGTGGCTTTTTCCTCTGCTTGTGTAGGTTTTCTGCAAGCCCATGTCTGCGTCGGGCCGGCTGAATGAGTCCGAGATGAACATGATTTTTGTCAACTGGAAGGAACTGCTGGCCTGCAACTCAAAATTTGTCAAGTAAATACCTTGTGGCGACAGTGTTTCTGATAGCGTGAGGAAATGCTGTGAAGAGTGTTTGTGCAGATTTTTTTCAGTGTAAAAAAGCATGTTGGGGGTTTGTCTTGTGTATGTGTGCAGGGCGCTCCGCGTTCGTAAGAAGACGGGCGGAGAGAACAATCCAGTGGGGATGATTGGAGATATCCTGGCTGCCGAGCTGTCCCACATGCAGCCCTACATCCGTTTCTGCTCATCCCAGTTCAACGGCGCCACACTGCTGCAGACTCGCACTGACAATGATTCAGACTTTAAGGACTTCATGAGGGTAGGAGGGATTCCCACATCCTGTCCGCTTCCAATGAGAGCTTCATGTTTACCATTTAGAGTTTGGGAATTTTAGGGGTTCCGGTTTTGTTGAAAGACAAGAATGTATCTGTTAATCTTTTAATGTTGTCTTTTTTCTCTTAGAAAATCGCCACAGACTACAGGTGTAAAGGAATGCCGCTGTCCAGCTTCCTGCTGAAACCAATGCAGAGGATCACTCGCTACCCACTGCACATCAAAAACGTAGGCCATCGTTTTCAAGTGTGGCCTTAACTGGCTGCATTTGACTTTCTGGTTGTTTTATAAATTCTGTCATAATTGTATCTATTATTTTATTGTTAGCTGTTTTAAATATTTAGACTCACATTAATATACAAAAACAGAATTTATAAGGGTGTGGAGAGTGACGGACTATGCAAGCGCTTTTTTCCAGTTCTACGATACTTTTACTTTAAGTATGAATGTTCTCCCTGGAGAGTATTTTCAGCCAGAGCTTTACATTCAGGGACGTGATCAGAAGTTATCACGGTAAGCTCTCATTCTGCACCAGGTATCAGCTTCCACTGCCAGAAGTAGTCAAAATTACTACTTTACAGTGCATGTTCATCGACAGAGTATCCAATGAAAGACACTCTTTAGTGACGGAAAATAGTTGTTAATAAAATTAACGTCAAATGTGAGCACGATTAGCTTATTAGTGTATTTACTTGTGCAGATCCTGGAGTGCACTGCAGAGGGTCATGCTGACCGAGGTCCTTTGAAAGAGGCGCTGGAGAGGGCGGAGGAGCTCTGTAAACAGGTTTTTATGATCATCATTTCCTTTATTAATGAGCCCAGTGAGTCGCTTAATTAGAAAGTCTCTGTGTTGTGGTTGAAAGAATCTGATGTGGTGTTTCTGGGCGATTACCTTGTGCAGGTGAACGAGGGTGTAAGAGAGAAGGAGAACTCCGACAGACTGGAGTGGATTCAGAGCCACGTTAATTGTGACGGTCCTGTCGAGGTATTGAGATTTATGGTTTTTCCTTCATGGATCTTTGTGTGAAAACATTGAAACGTTGTTTTAAACTTTCTCGCTTTTTACAGCATTTGGTCTTTAATTCCCTTACCAACTGTTTGGGCCCCAGAAAACTGCTCCACAGCGGCAAGGTGAGTTTCACTGCAGGTTCTCATATTGGCTGGCAGGATGGGGCATAACGGATGATGAAATTTGAAACTTAATGGTTCAAATCCCAGGAAGTAGTGTTACTGGTTACAAGCCTCCTACCACAAAGTAAAATCTTCAGACACCAGTAAGCTTTAAATAATTTAAAGTCGTGTTTTGCTGAAGATTTGCGAAAGTAAATCAGTTAATGTTGTTAGTGTTTTAAGTGTTTAATCATACATGTGCGGGTGTATCACTCTATCGTCACAGTTGTACAAGGCAAAGAGCAGCAAGGAACTCTGGGCTTTCCTCTTCAACGACTTCCTGCTTTTAACGTACGCGGCTAAACAGTTCACCTCATCTGGACCTGATAAACTGTTCAGCAACAAGAATAACGTACAGCTAAAGATCTACAAACCGGTAAGAGATGCACACGAGTGGAAATCTCCTCCTTTGAGGCAACGTTAGACTTTGTGTTTGTGCCCGACCGTGTTTCATCTTGTGTTTCCTGTAGCCCGTCCTCCTGAACGAAGCTCTGGTCAAGCTTCCAGATCCTTCCAGCGATGAGCCCATCTTCCACATCTCACACATTGACAAAGTCTACATGCTCAGAACAGACAACATTAATGAACGGTATGTGCACACGTCGGCGTACGCACAGAGAAATGTGCCAGTGAATCAGTGGCTTTTACGAATTCCTGCGTGTTTGTGTTTTTTCAGGACGGCGTGGGTTCAGAAGATTAAGGTGGCGTCTGAGGAATTTATTGAGACTGAAAAGAAAAAAAGGGAAAAGGTTTATCAAGGTTTGTGTCTACACTCCAAGAGCCACATTCGTGTCACCTAAACGCGATAATCTCAAATAATCATTTAAGCTTTCTGTGCACGTGTTTACAGCACGCTCTATGAAAGGCAGTGGAATCGGCAGACTGCTCGTCACCATCCTAGAAGCCACTGAACTCAAGGCAGCAAAACCCAACGGTGAGCATGAATGCACTAAAAACAAATCATCAGCTTTTTTTTTTTCTTTTTGTTTCTTTGTTTTATACTTTTACACTTTTATTTTTACTTCCTTTTTTTTCCTTGACTCTCCTTTTTCTTTTTTTTTGATTATCTGAATCAATCCTCAACTTGCTTTCTCTTTACCTGCTCTTACATCCTCCTCATGCCTGTCTGCTGTCTTTCCCTCCTGCAGGTAAAAGTAACCCTTACTGTGAAGTGACCATGGGAGCTCAGATCTTCACATCCAGAGTAATCAACGACACCCTGAACCCCAAATGGAACTTCAACTGTCAGTTTCACATCAAAGACATCTACCAGGACGTCCTCTGCATTGCCATCAACGAAAAAGACCAGTTTTCACCAGACGGTTAGCTACCGGCTAATTACATTATTTCATTTTATTAATATTGCTAAAGTTTGTTCAGAACTCTTTCCTTAAAAGCCCGTAAAATAGTTAGATTATGGTGTAAATGTATACAAATTAAATTATTATTAACACTTGTTTGTAAGAAAACAGTGGAGTTCCCACTCCAGGTTGGGAATGAGCTGCTGCTCCAAGTGCAGAAAAGTATCTTGGGGGTCTTGTCTTTGAGTGAGGAGAGGGTGGAGTGGGAGATTAGTGTGGTCTGTTGTGGTGAAGAGAGAACTGGCCGTGAAAGTAATGCTGCTGTTTTACACTTCAGTCTACATTCCCACCTTCACCTACGGTCACTATCTCTGAGTCACGACTGAAAGTTTAAGGTTGTGGATAGCTGGAGCTGGTTAAGTCGTCTGATTAAGTTGCCTCCCGAACACAAACTATGAAATGGAGAACCCAACACATGTCATGGAGCAAGCTAAGTATTTATTTACGGCAACTTTCTCTATAAATTCATCTACAACTGAGTCACTTTCCAGCAACTCTCCCCTCTGAGCTGGGTCGGCACACTTGTTAGCATTAGCTTCCTGTCTGGACTGCCCTCTTCTCCGGGTCACGGCATCCTCCTGAAATAGAGGAGGCATGATTAGATGACCATTACTGGCTGTTCCCAGCCTCCCCTGACACTCTCTGAGCCCACTGCTCCACCCCTCCCTGCAGCTAAGCCACAAACCACACCCCGCCACAGTGAACTACCAGGACGTAGCCCCAGGACAAACCAAGGACACAGCTGACAGATTATTTCTCTGCTCTGGCTTGGGAATGCCTCACATAAGCTTGAGGAGGTAGCTAGAGACAGGGAGGGCTAGGTGTGCCTCCTGCCCCCATGACACGGATAAGCTGTAGAAAATAGATAAATGGTTATTTTATTCAGTGGCAGAATGACAAATCCTCTTAAGACATGGGTGTAGGGTGGGAGTGTCAAACACGAGGTCAGAGGTCCACACCAGCACATGGATCAATCGGGGGAAATGTGAAATGAGTTGAACACACTGCTGTGGGGTTTAAAAGAAGTATTAAAAGAGCATCCCATGTGTCACTGAAACTGTCTCGACACTCCCACTGGTTAAACGTTGGCTGTTGTTGGTGAATATTTTAGTTAAACTGTACACAGGATAATTACAAAAAGTATAAAAAGTTAAACATGGTTTTCTTCTTTAAAAACAGAAAAATAAATAAATATAACTTCCTCCGAACTCATGTGCTGTTCTGTTTTCTCGTGTCAGAGTTCCTGGGCCGGACCGAGGTTCCAGTGGCGACCATAAAGAAAGAGTTGGAGAACAAGGGACCGGCGACGCGTCGGCTTCTGCTGCACGAGGTCCCAACAGGGGAAGTGTGGGTCCAGCTCGACCTACAGCTCTATGGACACAAGTAGCCGCAAAGGAAGAACTGAAACAAGAAACTACATCCTCTGTAGAGACTTTCAAATAAGAACAGTTAACCAAATTTTAAAAGGCTGCTTGTTTTCACATTAACAAACTAAGATGGTTTCTCCTCTAAGCTGTAAGGAGAGACGGTCTCATTCATCAAGCCTTAATTAATTTAATATTAACCAGCAGTAATAATACCTCTTCTGATGTCATCCAAGTCCTGCAGTAGAGATGGCCTTTCAACAATTCAAGCCACGAAATAGGAATTGGAGCTCTTCTTTTGTTCCTCGGGATGACTTTAGATGGAAAGGGAAACTTATTCACCTGCTCAGTATGGAGACTTGGTGTGTCCCACAGTTGAATGTGAGTCCTATGTAAAATTTACAACCTTCAGATGGAGTTAGGACCAGACAAAAGCTGCTGAGAAGCAGATAATTCAAAGCAATAAAACTATATGTGCTCTCCTTTAGACTCTCAGAGCTCTGTATCTCAGTCGGTTTTTATTAAGTATTCACTTTGCCAAGTCTGCTCAGCCAAGGCCATTAAACGAGCTGACACTGAACTAACTAGTGTTTTATCTTAACTGTCAAGAGATACAAGTTGACTCTTTATATTATTTTCTTCTTTTTTTCTGAGGAGATCATGACTGACTGCTTTTTAGAGACTTTGCTGGCCTGCTTTGTGGCTGTCGCCAATCATAAACTGTCTGGGCTCACTTCTCACAGTGACATCAGAGACAGTAGATGGCAAATGATGGACAGTGACAGCTTGGAGAATAAGTGCGTAGAGCTGGTCTGAAGTCAGTTTACTACTGTAGATCTCAGGATACGTTGTTCTGGGTTGAGTCTGTGTCACTGTAGCAACACTGAACACTCGTTTTGTTGTTTTGTGTGTATGTTGGGATTCGTGAGTACATATCTTTGGAGAATAGAAGAATAACGATAGAGAAGCGAACAGATCCTGCAACTTTGGGAGGATACAACTTCTTGCCTTAATAAAAGTCATTTTTGACCTTTTTTTTTTTTTTTTAAATATATGATTAAAATAATTTACTCTTCATTGGGATGATGCTGGGCTTGACTGTAGACTATTTTTGCTTTTTCTTTAACGTGTGAAATCAGCTACGGCCGAGTAATTTCAAGTGAGTTTAAGATGATTAAGGTGAGAGTTTTGTGTTTTTATGCAAACAGTTTTGATGGCGCTAACTTTTTGAAGTAACTCAGATCAAGAGCAATAACAAACAGTATTTTCCCACTTGTATTTTTTTATGCTTTTTCAAACTGCCGACACATTTTAAGGCTCACCCCTCTCGTCCCTGCCTGCTTACAGTAATATTGTGACCTCAAAAAGTTAAAGTTGGCGCTTACGAACGTCAGCCATGAAGACGCTACAAAGATAAAGGGTGTAAAAGCTGCGTATTTGTGTTGTTGTTGTTTTTACTCTTACTCAGTGTGCTCAGATTATTTTCTAACTCTGCATTTAAACGAAATGTGTTGTATTTATTTCTTAATTTATGCGTGTGACTATCCAAAGTTTAGGGCGCCTTTCTGTTTCATCGTGGAGAATCGGTCGGTAATCGCTGAGTTTGTTTTGTGAGAAAGCCGGCTCAGTATCTTAAGACTTTCCACACATGAACTTCTGAGTCCAGTCAGAATATTTTCCACAGTCTTCCTTTCTCACATGTAGCACACAGCAGGAAATGGTCTGCTTCAGATTCATTCGCACTACTGGAAATGTGGAAATGTTCCTTTTGGGTCAGAGGTGCAAACTTCAGTCCAGCGTCACATAGACTTTTTACTTGGGAGCACACAGAAAAGTAAAGACGAGCTAACGTCTGATCCGACTGCATCAGATATTTGTGTTGTTCATTCACCTCTGCTGGGTGATGTCTAGATGTCCAGCGCTGAAGTGCATGTGTGGAAATGGATTCATATACATTTTTTCCCCCTTGATTGAGTTTTACTGTAAGGAGACGAAGTTGTTCATTGTTTTCTTAGGTCTGATATTTTGTGCTCTTGTACTCCACTGAGTTGCCCTTTTTTTTTCTTTTTTTTTTTTTTAATCAACGAGGTTATTTTTAAGTCTTGTTGTCAACTCCTATTCTTTTTTTCTTTTCTTTTTTTTTTAATTTTTTAATTTCCTCGTCTGCGTAGGGCTGTGAAAGCTTGTTTTCCTCTTTCATTTTCAGCCTCCTGCACTGACTGCTGAGTTTATGACCTCTCTAACCCTGACTTGCCTGTTCACAGCTGACCGGATTCTGTAACCTGCTGTTTGTACTCACCTTGGCCTTTATATGGCACTCGCTGTATCAGGGTTTCTTAAAGCAAATTAAAGATATTAAAAGTGATCAAACTGTCAATTTAATTGTCCGGTCAAACAAAAAGGACCAATTAAAATAACTAAACTGTGAGCGAACATCCTCCTGCAGACTATGCAGTTGAGCACACCATCCTGCTGTTGTGCTTTTTCCAACTACAGTGTTATGTGCAGCATTTTTACTAAGCTACAACAGATTTTACAGTTTTCATAAAGCTGGACGTGATTTGAAGATAAATTCTCATGTTTGAACAAGTGAAATATATATTTTTGGGGGGTAGTTAACTCTTGGTTTGCCTGGTTTCTCGTGGTGTCCGGCCACAGAGTCCGTAGAGTTCAGTGCAGAGTTGTCAGTGCGCACCAATAGCTCTCATTAAGTCCTTCTTCACCCTCCACTGGCTCTGGGGCCACAGGAGCAGCAGCTATTATGTAACCACGCTGAGTGGGTCTGTGAAGAGATGACAGCAACACACACGGCTGCGTGACTGGGTCGAGAAAGTCAGCTGAACTCTACCTTTTGTGGTAGAATGCTATGGCACTGCTAATGCATTTAATGCAGCGGGGGATGTGATGATATAACTAAAGGGATTAAATGTAATTTATACTTATTTAACTAAGTGTCATAGCATTGCCTGAAGCTTATTTATTTATTTTTAAATACAAATATGATTCACTTGAAAAATCAGTCAAATGTTTGCATTTTGTGACGGTGGCGTTCCACATCTTAAAAACCTTGGAACACCTAACGGTGGAAATCCCAGAGGAGACCCAGAACTCAATGGACACGTACATTGACTGCCCTGTGTACTTCTCCCAACTGGAGAGTGTGGCTGGGGTTAAGGATGTCTGGAATTCCTTGCCTTAGCATGCTTCCAGCACGGTCCAACCTCAGATAAGCAGAAGACAATAAACGGAATGTGTTTAGTGAAGGTGACCCAATTTAAAATTCACATATTCAGTAAAATAAAAGAAGCTGTAATAGGTTGACAAAATGCATACACTGACGTTTGTGGTGGTTCTTGCTGTCGTGGGTATCTCCAGGTCCTCATTCTTGCCATGATGGCACAGACTAAGAGTGAAAACAATAGTGGATAAAATAGTTTCTGTCCAAACAGATTCACTGAAAAAACATGTTTTTTTTCTCTTCCCTTAAGTCTCTTAAAGGAGGCTTTGGGCTACAACATGGTGCCAGAACAGTTGCAGTGGGCCTTGGTATTGATTCCACAAGTCTTATTCTGTGTTTTCATTGTGATGGGAATGAATGCTGTCGATCAGTCCAAAATCTCCCGCTGGCATTCTTCTGAAGGTCATCGATGAGTCACACTAATCAAACCATTCAGTGCTCCCCATAATAATGTATACAATCACTCAAAACAACTTTGTATGGATTTGAAGACAAGAAACATGCCAGAGAAAAAAGTCCTGCCACAGCCTGTGTAGGTACCGCAGGTTGGCCAAAAGAAGACGTTTACAATAAACAATTTTTTTTATGTTTACTTAAATTTCTAAATATATGCACTCACAGGTCACCTCATTAGTTACACCTCATCAGCTGCTTGTTAAGATATAAATCACATGGCAGCAAGTTAAGTGAATTTGAATATTGGATGTTTGTTGGTGCCAAACAGGCTGTTCTGAGTACTTCAGATGATCTACTGGAATTTTTTCCACAAAACCATCTCTAGAAAAGAGAAAATATCCAGTGAGCAGCATTTTGTTTTGGTGCCAGAGGTCACAGCCTGCATGAAGCTGATAGAAAGGCAACAGTAACTCAAATATCGCACCTCTGAACACACAACACTTTAAACCTTGAAGCAGATCGGCTACAGCAGCAGACAACCACACCTGTAAGTTCATGCAGGATCACCAAAACTGAACAATGGAAAATTAGGAGGCCGCTTCCTGATCCGAGGAGTCTCAATTTCTGCTGTGACATTTGCATGGTCAGGTCAGAATTTGGCGAAAAAACACAAAAGCATGGCTCCTGCCTTGTATTAAACGTTCAGGCTGCTTTTTATGCTGACCATTTCCACCTCTAGGACCACAGGGACACGGTGGAACAGGAGTTTGTCATTATGGGTGTGCAGCTGACAAATGTGCAACAACTGTGAGATGTAGCCATGTCAATATGGACCAAAATCTCAGAGGAATGTTTTCAGAACCTTGCTGAAACTACTGCATGAAGAAGGAAGGCAATTTAAAAGGAAAAACGGGGCACAAGTGAGTAGTGAGTGTATGTCAGCTATGAGAAAAAGGTCAGTCATGAGGCTGGTTTGACTTCAAGATACTCTTAAAGGATTTTTCCTTATAGCAAAAGGTATAGTAAAGGTTCAGAGGCAGACAGGAATAGAAATGGCAAATGAAGAGCCAGAGGGAGAGAGTGTGCATGAGACAAAGTGAAAAGGAAAAGTGCAGCAAAGCAGAAGAAAAGAACAGTTTAGAGGTGGGAGGAGAAAAACAGAGACAGAGGAGAATAAACACACATGGAGACAGAAAGAGAGCGTGGAGGGAGAGAGTGACATCTGCATACAGGATGAGTCTGAGAGGCCCTCAGTTCCACTTGAGTTAGTCATGGGAATGATTTGATTATCACCACATGAACAGTTGTCTTATGTAACACACACATACACACAAATACCCTCACAAAGAAAACACAGAAATAATGAGGGATTTGTGTCCTGACCAAAAACCTACACTGAGTAAAGGTGCCCTGAAGCAGCAGACAGACAAGAGGGTGAAAGAGAAAGACCACGTCCACGTCATACAGGTCTTTTCCTAGACATTAAAACACTGAAACTCTCCACCAAAACGAGCACAAATCAGCTTTTTGCTATTGTGTTAATTTCTGATCATGTTCATCAGAACACGATGCCTAGCTAAAAATAAAATAAATAAATAAATTGAGGACTCACCTAAACGCTGTCGATGAACTGATGTTGAACTGAATTAAGGTCGTGATTGCTATTATTATTTTTTCAATCATTACCAAAATTGGAACAACAAGCCTCGCAAAAGTTGTCATTTTTCCATCACAGTGGGCCCAAAATCAGTGGCACACCCACAGAAACGCATAAAAAACGATAAGCAAACTTTACCTCACAGCAGGTTATTTTTTCTGTAGTGGGAAACGATGAAATGATAGACCTCCACTGTTTCCACAAATGCCTTTAAACACATCAGTGCAGCACTCGGTGAGATGTTAATCTGTTCCAATAACTTACAAACTGCTCAAATGTGTGTTAGTGCACATCTGAAAATAGTTCCCACTAAAGCTAAGGTACCCAGCTGTTTTATGAAATTGTTTAGTCATTTGTAAAGCTGAAAGTACAGATTTGTGGCCCATTTGGGGTTTAAGGTTAAGAACCAAAAGACCGCTGAATATGTCCAGGTTAACCAAAGCCAGCACACGCGAATCTTGGGACATCTTTAGCTTGGCCGACTTGTGTTTATATTGATCAGTAAATATGAATTACTCCCATCTATGATGAAGTTGATGGTGTTTTATTTTGCTGATGTGCTGAGATGAGATTGCCTACACTGACCTGAAATTTCACCCCTGAAGCTTCTTAAATAATGAAGTGAAGCACCAGTGGAGCAAAGACCCCAGTGTGGCGCAGACCCAACGTCCCCCCTCAGCACCTGAAACTCACAGCTCCCGTCCCTCGCTATTTCAAAGAGGGTTGACAATAATTCCTGACAGAAAACACTCCACGGCTTTAAGAGAGTTAATATTTCAGCACCCTGAGCAGGAAGTGCAGAAATACATGCATTATGGATTTAAAGTGGTCTGTGTGTTGTGTATTCTGCAAAAAGAACAATGTTTAGACATTAAAATCGCAAACATAAGGCGATGCTTGGTTTATTTAATATCTATTAACCTTAATTCTGCTATATCAGCGCTATAAATAACCTTCACATGTGGCAAGGAAAAAAAGATGCGTGGATTCATTTTATTTATTTCTCTCCAGTAATTGTGCAAGAGAGGGGAGTTTGCATGTAAATGTGCTGAGATTTCAGATTGTGCAGACCTGAACACAACCAGTAACACAAGGCTTTTGTGTGATATTAAGTGTTAAACAAGCCATTAAAGAATTACAGAAATGTGAAGATGCTGATTTATTAACTTGTGCACGTGTGGGCGTAGAACGGAAAACGTGATTGCAGTTTTACAAAGAGCAACGGAAAGATCCAGCAAATTTTCGACAACACGGTTGTGTCAAATCTGAAACAGATATTCTTGACAGAAGTGGAGAAACAGAAATTAGATTTTTTTTTGTTTTGGATGTGAAATCACAGAAGTGAAACTGAGCCTATCACATGTGTAAGTGCAGAGCTAAGGCCTGTAACAGTCAGCACTTGGACTAAAAGACAAAAAAAAGCATAATCCACTGTAACATCTGTTTGTATCACTGAGAAATAAGTTCGTAAATGGTAAATCACACCTAATAATACAGGTGAGTGTGCGCGTGAATGCAAAACATACATGCAATAGGCTAAAAATATGAGCTCAAGCTCTATGAAACGGGATGTTGTGTTGTATCTAAAAAAAAAAGGTTATGCATGGTCAGTAGTAGGCCTGAGGTAGACACACTCACCCTCAGTGCACACTCTTTCTTTATGAAAACCAGCTTATGTATGGAGAAAAGCTGTAGGCATGCATTCTGTGCATGCACATCATTTATTCATGCAGCTCCTGATGATGTAAAACAAACATGAAGAGACAAACAGACCAAATAAAATGAATTTTAGTTGTCAGTTACTTGTAGCCATGTAGGTGCTATCAGGCGTTCCATATCTTCGCTTCAGACCGAAATGCCATGAAACTTTTTCACGTCAAACTTTTGTGGATTCCAGGGGATCAACAGCATTTTGGACTGTTGGATTGTATATTGCAGCACTGGGTTGATCTTCAGATTTGTAACAGGTTTTGCTGATGCATTAACATTTCTTCAGTTTTTATCTTATTTTGACCAATATTCAGGCCCAGGGATCAAAATACAACAGGAGCAATTCTGATATTTCCACCATGAAATATTAGCTTATTAACAGCATCACAGACTGCATATAAAAGTATAAAAAGGATCACCCGGTGTTTTGCAAAGTCCTGTTTGTGAAGACTTAAACTTTTTTGTGGTATCCGCTTTAGTTTTTTGAAACCAGCTGTCACAAGGGTGTGGTTCACCTGACGAAAACCGAAAAACACAGAATTCCTAAATGCAGCACATGCAGATAATTTGAATGAAAAGTAAACTGTTAATTTGTTGTTATCAACACCTTATAAACAAAAGAAAACATGTATTTAATAGTGCGAGGGGATGGATGACAGAAACACTGGGGAGAATACTTCTAAATAATATTAAAAGAAGAACAGAAACAAAACAGAAAACAAGGATCCAAACAACAACATGACAGTACTTTAAGACTTCCCTGTGGAAGCACCTGTTTTCCCACAGACACATGCGTGTTAATTAAACTAGTTGTGAGAAATACTCTAAAACTTCTGGGCTCTTTTTCATGTCTGCATATCTGACCTGTCACATCCTGCTTTTGGTCTCCAGCTGAGACCATAATTTACAAAGAGTAGACTTTCAATTCGCCCCCTGCTGGCTTTTAAAAAGAACCAAGGTGTAGCTCCACTCACATATCTTTTATATACGGTATATGGTCAGCATTAGGTGGGGGTTTACAAGACCACTGGATTGGCTTTTAGTGATGATGTCATTATCTGTAAGCATCAACTGCCTGTTATTTATCAATGATATAGTCATGACCTTCTGACCTTTTGAAGGCAGTGGTAGAAGTTTGACTTCTGGACCTTTTCAGGTTTCTCTGGTCGATTTTAGGCAATAAAACTATGTAGCATGAGGTTTAGGATGAGGAGGTCATGGTTCAGGTTAAAGTACACATCTTGGAGAGCCTGTCTGGGTGAAAGGCTTAAACCATGTCTGCACAGACACGCAGCAAAAGAATGAGCAAAATACTGACAGCTTAAATATACCTCAGTGATTTAATGGGTGTGTAAGACTAGTGTTGCAGTGAGATGAGTGTCATATGAGTGTGCAGCAGCGCACTACAGCTGGCTGCCTGAACAAGTTTGAGTTTTATTGTTTACACTCAGAATTGTTTTGCTGCACGTTAGGAAGTCTGGCATCTTTCTGAAGAAGTGAAAAGCCAGCATCTTTGTCCAGAGTTAACAGGACTAATAGCAGTAACAGTAACTTTAACTAAGAGCAAAGGTTTACCAACGATACCACTGCATGTTTTTATTTCCCTACATACCTGTTGAGTGCTTAGTACCTTGTTTAACTCAGTCACCCTCCCCAACCACAGCCCTCGAGGGTTTTTCAAACTTTTCCCGTTGCGTAACATCAGCACAAAAATAACCTGCCAAGCTGATGGGGTAGCTAATGAAATTTTCATCAGTGTTAATCTGATATAAAGTTGTTTTTGATCTTTTAGAAAAGTGTTGATTTGGTGCTAAAATATCAGCTATAAGTATTACTGTAAGGGCACATGGTCCGACTGCAGTATAAACAAATAATGATAATAATAATAATAATAATAATAATAATATCCAAAGTGTGCCCATGCAGTGAGAAGGTGACTTCACAGGTGACTGAAACCCTCATCTGTCACAGCCACTCACTGTCATCTCTGTGCATGTGAAACACTGTGCTGCTCAGTTTTGAATTTTATCTCATGCCTCTTTTACTGATTAATGAATATATATATATATATTTACACATATAAAAAAGCTTAGATTTACAGGGTGCAGGCGTGATGTGATTTTCTGAAATTTCATGTGATGCGTCTAAATTATAGCACTTTTTTTTCAACACTGCACATGAAATATTGTATTCTGCTTGGTTTCCTGCCCCACTGTCCCTCTTCTTCTCCTCTCCTCAGTGTTTCTCTCTCCTCCCTCCTGCTGAGCGCTCCACATGAAAAACAGACCAAGAGCAAATGAGGAGAGGCAGCGAGTCTTCATTTACAACTGCACATGTGTCCTGCTGTGTGTGCGTTGTTGAGCGAAAGAGGAAAAAGCAGCAGAGTCAGAGAGGAGGGCATGCAGACGTTTGGGAAAAGGAGAGAGAGGAGAGAGATTCGGCAGACCTGTCGGGGTCTCTCATGTCACATTTCTGCCCCGAGGAGCTGACCTATGTCTCGCTCTAAAAAGAAAACTAAAACGGAATAAAGGAAAGCTGCACTCTGGAAAACAGTCGGAGCAGTGTACCTTCTCCTCCTGCTGCTACGGCATTAAAGAAAGAAGAACTGAGGGCATGAAAGGAGAATGACTGACATTTTTAATTTGTATCTACATAAGAAAGAGAAGAGGAGACGGAGGCTTTTGGGCCTGTCTGACAACTGTGGGAGGGCAGAGGAGATTTATACTTATAATTGTACAGTTAGTCTTCTTTTGGTATTCTTTGAGAGAAAGGCAAAGAGAAGAGTGGAGATAATAGGAGAGGAGAAAAAAGGGGAGGAGAGAGTCGAGCACAGAGTATTGGAGTACCGAGAGGAGGAGAAAAGAGAAGACCAGAGTAAAGAGGAAAGGAGGAATGAGAGGACAGGAGAGCAGATGGGCTCTTCAGATTATTAACATGTAAGTACAAACATTTTATTTACATGTGCTGATAACTGCTCATGGTGACACCACTGCTGGTTTTTATATCTGCTTGTAATTATTATGATTTTGTAGGAAGTCTCAAATCTGTCTTTCTCACTGCTCGATTACTTTTCCCTCCATATAATTACTCTTTGTGCCGCCAAGTAATTTTTTTCCTTTCTTTAATTTTCTGTCTTGTTTCCGTTTTTTGTTTTTTTTTTTCTAAATCTGCGTGCACACTCTCGCTCCGGTGCAGCAGCAGAGGGAAAGGCCAGTGTCACGTTAGATTAGTATCAGCAGTCACACACACGGGGGAAGAAATATGCTTAAAGTGTGATGAGCATGATGTGGAGGATTGAGCCTGCGCAGGAAGAGCTTTTGTATGTTCTGTTAGTGTCGTGGTGGACTACACCACGGGTCAGAGGAACTATATAGTTTTCTCAACCACATGGAGGAAAACAAAGAGCTATTGTGCCACATAAGAATTTGGCCAGACATGCAAAAAAAGAAAAGAGAGAAGAGCATCAGTGTGTATGAAAACAAAGGCGCAACATGTTTTACACCTCGGGCTGGAGTCTAGGAGACTTCACTCAAAAAAAATTAATATATAAGGAGCTTGGTATATGCCTTTATTGCTTTCATTGCAGTGATGGGACTAAAAAGATTTAAAATATAACCCTGTGGACTCTGGATAATATCTGGGAAAGGTATCACATGTATGGACTGCAGTGACACACAGAGATGTGATCACTGAAACTTTGCATCCCCATAGAGTAAATGACTGAGCCATGGGTAGCCATTGATTGCCACACCTATTCTTACAAACTGAAGCATCGTCACCGAACAAAGCTGGGAATAACTGCCCATGAAAATACCTGAAGAAAAGCACCCTTTATTCTGCCGGCTTCACCTCTGTTATCCAGTACTTTGGGCAAAAATGTTCAAATGTTTAGAAAAATAAAAAATGGTTCACATAAAGTACGACTAGTAATAAAATATTGTATGTTACTGCAGAGCCATCAACTGAAGTAACAGAGAACTGACTTAATATGTGAGATGATCTAAACTGTAGCTATGGGAATTTCAAAGCATTTCAATAAAGACTTATGTGTAATTGATTTTGCATGTTTTGAAAAGAGAGTGATGGACTTTTGATTTCTTAATTTTCTGTATTTTAAAATTAGCATTAAAGCCACTTTCAGCTGCTCCCTTATTTATACGGGGTCACCTCAGCGGGTAGTTCTGCGTGTTTAGATTTGGCGGTCTTACACCAGATGCCTTTCCCGACGCAACCTCAGAGAGAGTTCTGTGTCCTCCGGGGATCGAACCGGGGTTCTTGCTAAAAATGTACATTTATACATACAGTATAACAAACCACACAAACTTTAATCATATCATTGCAAAATTTCACGTTCTCTGAGCCATAATCCTAGATTATGCAGACCCAATTTAAAACAAATCCAGCCAATCTAACATATGAGATATAAACTTTTAGCATTCGTGAAAACCCCTCCAAGCAAATTCATGAGTTCAGTTAAAGTTTAAATATGTGTTTTAAATTTCTTGTTGGCAAAACACAGTGATTAGAGCTGCCCTTGTAGGTAATGCCTGAGTTCTGCTCCTGAATACAGTGGGAGCAGATGTGGGCATCAAATAGGTTAAAGTCGACCTATTTGAGGGGATAAAGCTGAAACCCAGTCAAAGCAGTGAAAGCATCATGGACATCCAGTAATCTAAAATGGCAAAATGGTAAATGGCCTGTATTTATATAGCGCTTTTACTAGTCCCTAAGGACCCCAAAGCGCTTTACATATCCAGTCATCCACCCATTCACGCACACATTTACACACTGGTGATGGCAAGCTACATTGTAGCCACAGCCACCCTGGGGCGCGAGGCTGCCGGACACTGGCGCCACCGGGCCCTCTGACCACCACCAGTAGGCAACGGGTGAAGTATCTTGCCCAAGGACACAACAAAGGTACAACAACCGAGACTGTCCAAGCCGGGGCTCGAACCGGCAACCTTCCGGTTACAAGGCGAACTCCCAACTCTTGAGCCACGATCGCCCAAAAAAAAAGGAGATCAAGAACTCAGGCATGTACTGTTTAAAAAGCAGTGATGGCCAACCATTGCTCTTGTGTGCCAGATGCCCAATCCTTGGCTAACTCCACTAACTCCTCTGTCTGGGAGGAGGGAGCTGTGTCCCAGGACATGAAAGATGCCAATATCATCACAATCTGGAAGAACAAGGAGGACAGAGGGAACTGCAAAAACTGTCATAGCATATTCATACTCTGTATGGTGAGTAAATCTTTGCTCACCTGGTGCTGAAGAAGCTCCACGTCTCATATTTAGGGTCAGTGTGCATTCAAATCTGAACAAGCTTGGACACGGTTGGCAATCATAGGAGAAGTAGCAAAAAACAGGGACTCTGCTACATTACCGTCATCGGCTTCACAGAGCATTCAACATAAAGAGCAGATACAATCTTTTCATGATCCTTGAGAAAAGCCAGCGAACTCCTTCAGTGACAACATGAAGAAGATCTGTGACTGCGACATGCCCATCAGAGTATGCAAGACTATACAAACCACATCTTTATTTTGAAATTTCAGCTATTTTGAATGTTCTTTTATGGTCATTTGGCCACTTTACTGCGGTCATCTACCTCCACAGTGAAGCCCACAAGAAGCTGTTTGACCTACAAAGGTTAAAAGGTCAAAAAATGCCTCTTTGCTGATGACACTGCTGTTTCCACGCACGATTGCCAAAAACTGCCTCCAATAACTCATGGACTGGTGTCCTACCTCTTGCACTGCATGCTGTGGGGGTCATGTAGGCACTTTATTCTAACGATCAGCATCAAAAAGATAAATATCCAGGGCTGAAATGTTGAATGTCTCTAACATATCAGCATACAATTCAATAAGTATGAAAAAAGACCTTGCAAGGTAAACAAAAAGTGTGGTGAGCACATGAACCTCACATGAACACTTCCACATCAGCAGAAGGAATTTCATGCCTTGTACGTGCACTGCGTTCATTGAGTATTCTGCATTTCTTGGAAAGAAAAAGTTCCCACCAGAGATGTTTTGCCCTGAGCAACACTCCTCCAGAAACTAGGCTTTCTCTGATCATGTGCACCATACAGAAGATGGCTGAATCCCCAAATACCTCCTCTGTGAACCTTGAAGAAACACTCACCAGGGCGGCCACACCATCACCACAAAGACATATTAGCTACAAACATGCTCAGAAAGCCGCCAATATTGACATGGTCACTTGAAATGCTTGAAATGTAGTTGGGTCAGGAGAGCTTCAAAGAAAAACATCTGCTTCAGTGGGATGAAAAGACGAAAGATGGCACGCACAAGTGCAAAAAGCCTGACTGAAAGACCGGCCACTGCCTAAATCTGTGAACAGTGCCCAAAGGACTGCCACGCCTTTGTACGACTTCACATTCACATGCACACAAGAGCACTGATCCAATGGTTCTGCAGGACTTCGGGTTCCCTACGGGCTTCATATTTATTGGACAAACAATCAGAAAGAAAGTGCTTTTAAGAAAGAAAGCAAAGAAGAGCATCGCAAATCTTAGTTTTGCAGTGCGATCGACCGACTGTGAAGTACAGAGTGAGAAAAAGCCTTTCGCATGTAGTTGAGTCATCAGAGTAAACAGCTCATTATTTCTAGACTGCTGAACAGAGTGTGACTGACTGTAATGAGCTGGCAGCAGGCCAACCGTCTCATACTAATGTCATTACATAACTGTGGCGATCAGCTGGCTGATAGGAATTTATTGCATGACTTTTCATTCACCACTCAACTCTAATACTGATGAACATCTGCTTTTTGTCCCGCGGCTTGTTTGCGAAGGTAGATAGGTGTTACATTTTTTTAAAAGGTGTGATTAATACCCATAACTATAAATTATTAATGATGGTATAATGCTATTTTTTTTGTAACATACAGGAAGCTATACTGTCATATTTAAAGACAGAAAGAAAGAGTAAGCAGGGGAGTGGGCGAGAGAAGGGCAGTCACGTCCTGCAGCATTTACACACAACATCACAAAATGACCCTGACAGTCAGTGACTTTAGAAGGGCTTGGAGGTTGTGTTATGTTTGCTCGTGTTATGTTGCACTTTAATGAAATGCGATTTGCCTTTTTTGTTTTTTTATTCTTTGCTTCTGTACGTCCCGTGATGACAAGTTGCTTTTCGACTCTTTAGTTTGTTTTCTAACATAATTAAAAGCGCGAGGTGTGTGTTTTTTATGCCTAACAGTAAGTAAGGAGGGGACAAAAGTGACTCTCGCTTGGCCCATATTTCCAGAAACGTGACAGATAAAATGCAGATTTGTTCTCTAGTGTCCTCTTAGTTTCTCCCGACAGGTCAAGAGCACTGCGCTTCAGCGTTTTTACAGCTGAAAACATCCAGAGAAATTAGGCCAGTTTGATCTTCTCTCAGCGCTTCATCCATTTTTCATCTGTTCAAGTTTAAATTTCAATGCCGTGTCTTTACAGCTGTGCAGCTCAAGAGCACAACATTCTGTATTTGGCATCTTTGTATTTCTACACAGTTTAGATTTACATGTTTAAAAGTGTCATTGCTCATTTTTATAAACGCTGCCTTTTCATAGGCGGATATCTTTACTGTTGTTTGGCATTAAGAAAAGAGTCTTCGTGAAGTAATCTGATGGAGAACACACAACGTGTATTAAATCTGTGGGGAAATCACATTTATGAAATGAAATAAAGTTTATTTACAGCGAGATTTTATTTGAAGAAGATGCTAGAAAAGAAAAGTCTTTCTGAGGTGCTTTGCACATTTTCTGTGTAAGCATTAAGCATTGTTCAGATTTAATATGTCATTTCTGGAAATTTTGCTTAATCATTATCGTCATCATTTTTTGCAGCTACAGAGAATAAGAGTATCTTAGGACACAAGTTTTCATTTATCTCTAACAAGACTGTAAATGTCTGCAGGGCTGCGGGTGTTAATGTATAAATTCAGTTTTCTTACACTCTAGGATTATCTTTAGGAAGAGGGAGCTTTTATTAGATGGCCTAGCTGATGGGGGCAGGTTTATTCTTGGTGCTGTACAAGTAAAGTCATTCAAACTCCATCATACACATTATAAGAATCATGTGAACCATTAAAACTGCAGTCTGCAGAAATACAGAAAAGAAAAACACTGCTGGAATAGACAGCCCACTCGTGCAGTCATACTTCTACGCTTTAAGCAATGCACGTCCTCCATATGTGTCCTCCATATGTGCTAGGAACATGTCAGAGCTGATTTTTGGCTTCACGCAAGATATAAACCGTGCTCTGAAGGTCTTCTGTTTAACCCACTGCATCTTATTTCCAACACTGAATCATAAATAATCTGTTCTGATATGAAAATACCTGTGAGTCTTTTGTAACAGGCGAGACTGTGCAAAGTATTTTAGAAACGTCCAGACCATTTCAGACTTGAATTACAATATTCTGAAAGCTTATTCAGATTTTTTATTTTGTCCAAATGACACCAAAAGCCACTCGAGCTTTGAGTTCAGTAACACTGATAACACAGGGGCTATGAAATTTAAATACAGAACTAAACTAGTTCAAACACAATGATTTGTAATTTAAGCTGGTTATTTCAAAGAGTTATTGTTGTATTTCTTCTTACTATTAATTACTATTAATATTGCTTTATTGTAACTTGATAATTTCTCCCCCTGAGATTTAGCTACTCATTTCAGTGTTTAATAATCATCACTTACTGTATATGACACCAACCATCATGTCATACTCTTTATGCTTGAGCTTATAGAAATGCCCCGGATAGCAGTCTAAGTTTGGATCTTTATGTCCAGACCAAAGGCCGTATATAATACACTCTATTCTGTGGCCTAGATAAAAATAAAAATAAAAATAAACCCTTACACTTCTTGTTAGTGTGGGTAATTTATGACATTGTCTGAAGCCCGGACTTGATGGACTGTCTCTCTGAAACAAGCACATTTCCAGGTCAGCGCCAAATGTGCGCATGTTAAAAACCACTTTCATGTTTTCTGCTCACTGACAAGAGACGGTAATAAACCGTAGAGTAAATGTAGACAATTTAAAGGAACAATTCACCACCACTACATTTATTTTTGCTCTGGCCTGTAATTCTATGCATCCGGCTGAACTGTTCTTCAAAGCAAACAAAAAATACATGTAGGGGAAAAAACTTCCCAGAAATCGGTTACTCAAAAACAAACGTTGTTGTAAGCCCTTTCATGTAGAAATCATTTTCTCTGTAAGAAGAAGCGCATCTGTCTGTGCGAAGAGACTCATGCTCATGACAGCATGACAGGAACTAAACATTAACAATGTCCCCTTCGGCTGAGCTGCAATATTAGGTAGCAGCAAAGATTTTAGCTGGAGGATGTAGTTCAGGCTGATACACTAAAACAATCTAAAAGCACGAATAGCACTGTCTGCAAGCCAAAAACATGAGCTTGATTCTAGGCTGTACTTCTTTTAGGCTTTAAAAGGCACAGCATTAAAGCTGAAAGTTAACGTGATTTAAGTTACAATTCAGTGTGCTCAAAGCCAAACATCCATCTATGCAGAGCTACAGCCAAGCTGTTTAAGTCCTGAGACATTACTGCAACCTTCTTATGCTTTTATTTTCTTTCCACACATCTGCATTGTAACTTTAGCACATTAGAAATGAGCGCTTTTCAGCACTAAAGTTGCTTTGTCAGTTATAAGCTGGTGCACGGCAGCATGTGTGCTTGAGTCTGTTGCCAGGTTTGCAAAGTCTTAATGGGAAGCCTTGAACTCCTGAGCTTTCAGCAACACTCGCAGCTGTTTGTTGCCACCTAGTGGTCGACAAAGTAAGAAATTATTCTGAATCAAATCCTTGATGTTCAATCTTCACGTTTAAAACAATGTCCACGTCTATGAACTGTTTTGTGTAAAAATACTTGGTTTTGAAAATCTCCACGCTGGCTTTCCTTTACTTCCAAACACCCTCTCTCAAGTGAATGAGCTCTGCACTAAATCGTGTGTGTTCATGTCTGTGTGCTGCACAGATATTGCAAAACTGACTTAAGTGCACAAAAGAATGTGTGAATACATGCATGTTTTTTGTGCCAAAAACAAAATATTATCTGAGGTATGGATGCCTAATTATTGTTTTTTTTTCTCTTTTAAACGCTGCAGGAAAACAGCTCAGGCATGTTGATAATGATGGTGAAAACTGGGAGGGAGGTACAGATTGATGGGTAAGGCATCAGTGTTTTCAAAGTCCTCTGTGATTAACTTTAATTTGTTAAATGACAGTTTAACCACTTTGACTTGTCTCCATAAAGCCACAGTTTTGATTGTTGATAAACTGAAAAGGGGTACCTTTATTTTCCACCCTTCCCCTGTACTCACTTTAATGTGGACAACTGGCTCACATGAACGTGTGAAACGTGGTAGATTTGCTGCTCTGCTTGGTACCATTGTTCTATTTCATGATCCATTTGTGGCCAGGATTTAGGGCTAATTATCACTCCTCCACCACCGTGCTTGACACATGCGTTGTTTGCCCTGACATGCATGTTTGGTTTTCACCAAGCATGCTATTGTACATCATCTCCAACTTTGGTCTCTTCTGTCCAAACAACATTGTTTGTTTTGAGGTTTGTTCAGGTGGGGCAAACCTAAGCCCTGCTGCCTTGCTTAGTCATTTTCTAACTGTATTGTCACAAAACGTAATATCATGTTAACTGAGGCCAGCAAAGTATGAGCTGTAACTCTTTTTTTGCAGTTTCACTGAGCATTGCATGGCCTTCGGTGAATTTGCTGGGACCTCCACACTTGGGAAGATCGTTGCATTGTGTTAGCACTCATTTAAATGCTCTCAACCAGCAAACTGGCAAAACTATAGAGGTGCTCACATTTTCTGACGATCAATCATGTGCATTTGATTAGCAACACCTATTTGCTACTTTCCCTCTTAATTCCTGTAGTGAGGGTATACTTGTTTTTTCTTCTTCTGAGGATTGCATGCAGTCCTGAGAACACAAACTTTTTCACATGAATGTAGTTTAGCTTTAGTACATGACTTATTGAAGTTACTTACGCTATTCATTTTCTAATTTGTTTCTCATTCTTATGTTTTAGGGTATTTACAGGTTTAAGAATTCAGGGAAAATCCTCCTTATCATGAGGTGCTGAACTGACTTCTGCAGGAAAAATAGTAACCACAACATGAGCGCTCCAACAACAGGAAGCCCAAATATGGAAGTGAAGGTGGTGTCCCAGGAGATGGCATTGCTTAGCAACATACTGGCTGCTTACACCTTCATTGCAGGTACAGTAGGTCCAATTGAAAGAAAGAAAAAAGAAGCTTTTATGTGGGATTGATGTGATGAGCAAATATTATGTGCTAATTTCTTTAACTTAGCACATAATATTAGCACATAAACCTACTAGGGATATGAAACAAAGAGCAAGAACAGGTCTGTTAAAAGTTTGACATCTGCCTTCAGAACATGTGAAAACTGCAGAAAAAAAAGGAATCATTTATCACACTTTGACTGTATTTTCCCCACATAGGATGGATTGTGTATCAAATCATGAGGAAAGGATTAGTTCATGAGAGTGTTTGTCTGCATTGTTAGTTTAATCTGAGCCACATGTTTCACAGCTTTCTAACTGACAAAAATATTACTGCTGCTCTGTTACATTACACTGAACCAAGATGGTTCTTTGATTTACGGCAGTAATATTTCTTTGTAATAACAGTAGACTGACTCATTTTGAAAAAAGCAAGACCTATTATTGATTTCTTTTTTCTTTTTACATGGGAACATACATGCATTTTTACACTATATAAAAGAAGGAAAAGGTTTCACTGGTCTGATCTTCTAGAGACCAAACTAGGGGCTTTAGGGCCCATGCACTAAAATTAATTTGATCTAGAAAACACAAAGCAGATACAAACATGTCAAACATTTTTCTGGCATTGAAAGCTGAAAAGGGATCAGCGACGTTGGCCCACTGGCTCAAAGACAGATGTGTGGAGGTCAGAAGGTGGAAACAGTGTAAAGACAACAGACAGGTGAGGGATGTCTGAAAACGTAGTACATAAAGACTAAAGACTGTGCAGGGAGGGACGGAGAGAAGGATGAAACAGCAGTTAATTTATTTGTTAATTTATCCTGCCTCTCTTACAGACCAGCCCGAGAGGACAGCGCTTGTGTTTCTTGGCGGCGTGTGCGTTGGCCTTCTTGTCACACTGTGCGCCATCGTCTTCCAAATACACTGTCGAGCAGACTGCCACTATGGCAACACTAACAATCTTCCCCATCGCCCAAGGAACAGACTCCAACATCGTCGGCATCACAGCTGTCACCACCATCAGCCCGCAGACAGTAACCCAGACAATACTGCCGTCGTCCCCTCTGGAGAGACTGGGCCCACTGGGGAAAGTGAGTCTGAGGACTGGGATGACACAACTGATCCATCAGCCCGGAGACGCAGACGCTTTGAGAGATCCCTAATGCACGCCACCATGTTCACATCGGCTGAGGGTATCTGTGGCAGACACTGACGCACACCAATGTCACCATCCACACACTAAGACATCATTCACACATCCAGCAAGCTGTTTCCTTTAAAATAAGGTCTCCTAATTTGATAACCCACACATCATATGACATCATAGTATTGCTGTGATTCAGATGATCCGATCCTTTAGATATGAATCATAGTCCAGTGAAATGTTTTAATAAAAAGCAGTTTTGAAAGTACATTTACTCAAATAGCAGACTTAACATAAAGTTATTGTGTTGTGCTTCTTTTAACACATGCTCCTCTGTATTTATGATTCATTATGCATCATTTTACTGCAACACAAACATCAGACAGGCATGCACTCCTAAATTTTTCTCAGCTAGCTGCATGGCAATTTGATTTATTTATTCATTTTAATGGTGAAAACAAGCTTCTATAGGACGTAGACACATAAAGGCAGACTCAGTGTTTATAACTTATTGGTGGATTAGAAGCCCAATAACATAGTCCACAAACTAGCTAACAGAAACCCAGACATAACACTCATCTGGAAAGTGTTTACCAAAGTCTACAAAAGACTCATTTTCTCATAGACTTCAATGCCTTCTTTTGCAACCAAAGGTCACCCCTGCTGGATTAGAATGCAAGTTTAAAGCACGTCTGGTTTCCCCTTACAGACCTGGAAGCCATCTTTTATATACTGTTTGTTCACCCATGTCGCACAGTGTCCACAGCAATGAATTAATTAGAATAAGACTGCTGAAATCTCACACTGTGTTGGTGTGACGCTCTGGTTATGTCTCTATGAGCACGGCAGCCAGACATAATCACACACACATGCTCCTATCTTCAAATAGAATAATAAATAAATAATAAATCTGACAGTAACATGAATGGACAGTGTCCATAAAACTTATTCTGTGTGTGTGTGTGTCATCAGAGCTGGACCGGGCCCAGAGGCTAGAAGAGCGGGAGAGGATCCTCCGAGAGATCTGGATGAACGGACAACCAGACATCAGTACAGTCACTCAAAGTCTTAACAGATATTATTGAAACAACAGTAAACAGAGAGATGCGCAGACTGAGATACAGACTGAAAAAAGAAGGAAACAAACATACAGCTGATGGATGGACACGGATCTAATAGCTATATAGGTGAATAAATACTATATGACATGAATAGCCATCAGCTTACTGGACTGATGTATTGTGCCAATGTGACTCTTGTGAAACTGTCACTGACAGAAATGCCTGGAGAAGTCCCTCTACTGTGTAAATTAATGAAAACATATGAGCTGCGATAGTTCAGTCATCCAACAAGAGACAGCAATGACATTTTTGGAAGAAGAATGCCCCGAAACATCAACTGGTAGAGACACAAAGAGCACAGATGACCACCACTGCTGCCAGCCGTAGCAGATATTTCAGAGAATCTGCGATATGTAGCTGCTGCCATAAAGTCGCTGGGATTTTCTAACTTTTCTATTATTAACAAGTGCTTTGAGAAGTATAGCAAACAGGGGGCATAACAGAGGCTACAGCTGTGTGTGAGTGTACAGTCTGAAATGAAATGATGAGATTAAGCAAGCTTTTAGCTGCTTTCTTATTCACACGGGGTCACCAAAGCAAGGATCTTGGCTTGTTAAACTGATCATAATCCAACCATCTGTACTGGAAAGTATCAGCTTTTTAACAGCCACTTTTCTATCGGTGCATTAGATTACCAATTTACTAATGGCAATGTTTTTAATTTATTCTGTCAACTTAATTTAATGATGACTGAATTTAAACAGAATCTAATGAAAGATTTCAAACAATAACTTATTGTTTAATTATTGTCAATAGTATTCTCTTTAGTACTTTGTTTTAAGGCCAAATAAAAGCAAAAATATTTGCATAACATTTGGATTAATTTTCAATCAGTGGTTCTCAAACCTTTTCTGGCACGCCCCACTTAATCCTACTCCACTAACATTGGGTGATTGTCATCCATGTAACTATAGTCACATGATTTTCATTGTATTGCTTTAGAGCCTTTTTATAGGGTCCCCATGATACCTTTTTTTCGTTTTAATGCAGTAACTCAGTGCCCCACAAGTGGCATCTACCCACAGTCTGAGAACTACTGTCTTAAACACTGGTATCAAGATATGGTCCACATTTTAGAGTTTTTGCACTTTTCTCATCTACTCTTATTTGTTTGTGAACCTGCTATAATCCCACCGTGAGTTCTGGAAACTGTAAAATTAAAGGCAACAGAAGGGAAAAAGTGTAAATGTGGTGAGATAGATGTAAAACTTCCACTCTACAGAGCAGCATAATAACTCGATGCACAGATGGAGATATACTGGTGCTTATATTGCTAGAATTCTGAATCTCCTAATGACTGTGTACTAATAATTATGACAGAAATTGCTTAGGATGGCAGCTAATCAGCTGCAGGTCTTTCTGCATATCACACAATGTATTAGCAGCTCATGCTCCATTTAAATCTGTGTTGAAGAGTTGAAAAAGTGAATAAACTTTAATTTCAGTGGTTTTTTTGGTCTGTTTTGGGTCCGTGGTACACACCTCTACTAGGTTTGTTGGCAGAATCCATGATGGTGAGGGTTACAGTTTGAATGTACACTTTTGAATTGTGCCAATAAGAACAACATAACGAGGGCATGTGGTCCGGGGAAATGGTGTGTACAGTCACCTTTAACGACTGGAAAGAGTCTAATTGTAATTTGAACAAAATAATTTGAACAAAAAATTTTTATGTTCCTATGGTGCATGAAATTAATTTTAGTTAAATTTATTATTGTTGAGATGATACGATCTAGCAAGGGTGGTTGGTGATTCTAAATTACCCATATGTGAGTGCAAGAGGCCATACGGTGTTACTTGTGACAGACTTGTCCAGGGTGTATCCTGGCTCTCGCCCTCTGACAGCTGGGATAGGCTCCAGCCCACCTACTATGATACTACTAGTTATAAAACCATATGAATTTTATAAATCCATTAAATTGGAGGGAAAAAGATGTCCATGACAAGTTTTATGTTGACCAGACTATATTTTGTTGAACACTCCAAAAAATAACTCTTCAAATGAACCTAAAATAATCATGGAATAGAGTTACACTTTAATAAATGGCTTTCTATTCTGGACTTGACTGCAGCAAATACGTTTATTCAACATTAATCAATTAAGTTGGTCCAACTCAAGTACATTAAGTTGGAATAACAGCATTGCATGATAGTAAAATAAAGCAATTTAATCACGTGGAAATCCTTTCCATGATTTTTTTTATGTTCATTCAAGTAATTATTTGAATGAACACCAAAGCCCAAACACCACAACCCTCGGCTTTGAGTGTAAGCCAAGGGTTGTGGTGGACAGGGAAGTGGTTTGACAAAGAAGAGAAGCTCTGAATGTAGGGCATAAAGCATGACAGAATCACCTAGAGAAAGGTTTTGACCTTGATATCGCCACTGCAGGTACCCACACACTTAGTTGCACAAAAACGTGATCATTTAATGGACAAAAACCAGTGCAAGCAGTGTACTCTATTATTTACTGTGACGCTGTCTCTACTGCCACCTGTTGTCCAAAATATGCCTCTGCAGCTCATCTTGGAAAACTCGGCCATAACCGTTCACCCCATTATTTATGTACAGCTGTACAAATGTAATAAATAAATAAATAAATAAATAAATAAAGTGAAAGGCAAAATTAAATTAACCCAAAACAGGATAACTGTACAGTAAGCTGAAAAATATATGTCTAACATAAATGCGCAAAGCAATCATTTCACCATCATAAGATCACCCTACCTAATGCATTAATTCAGGTCAAGTGGCTTTATTGTCATTTCAACCATGTACAGTGGTACAGTACACAGTGAAGCAAGACAACGTTCCTTCAAGACCATGATGAAACCTATAATATATAACAGACGATCAACACAGGACTACACAAAGTGCAAAGACAGTGCAACACCAGACAGAACGATACAGACACAACACACAATTCTTGACCTATGAAGTTTTATGTCTTGAATGACAAAATGTCAAAACAAAAATGACTGAGCAGAAGATTGCAGGGAAAAATCATTTCGCTTTTACAATTTCAGTCCAAAATCTTAGCTTAGAGAACAACTTCATATTTATCTGATTTGACTGTATAAAAATCTAGGCAATACCAATGCATCTTACTAAGTCCTGAAACATCGGTGCTATCGCTTTAACGGGACTAGCGCTGACGCCGGGACGGGGACACGGGGCTGGGAGAGCGGGTTGCTGCAGCTACACTCCCGACCGAGACCAGAACAGCACGGACCGGCCTGAAGACTAGCACGCTGTTATCCCTGAAAACCTCCCTTTTCGGGGTTTAATTCCACGATGCGAGACTATTCGGCCACCCCCAGTAATGGAGGGGCCTGCATGCCGTGCTGCCAAGTTTGCGTCTTCTTCTTTACCGCATTTCTCCTGGTTGCAGAGAGGACGGCGCGTGAGTCCTACCTGGGACACATACACCTACATCCATACATGCAAAACATATGCACACACACATAACTGAGCATTATGCCTCTGTCGCTGTTTTGGCCGATTGTGATCACCTACCTGTGCGAAACGCTGCCTTTTTTTTTTTTACTTTATTGTGTGTGCGTGCGCGTTTGTGCGTGCTTTTCTGTCCACGGCGTGTGGATGTGCAGTGTGAGGACTACAGTGGATGCAGAGGGATGCCTGGATGAGACAGGGGGGGTTAGGGTGACATCTTGTTCTACGTTAAAATACAAAGTTGTGCATTTGTTTTTACTTCAGCGTCTCCGTTGTGCTGTCATGAATAATAGAGCCTCAGCAGAAGTCCGCAGTCACAGCGTCTCTTTCCTATTTTTGTACCCCGCTCGTTATGAAATCCTGTATGCGGCAGGACTGCTGACTCATGTCAGACTTTTCCTATAATTTGAACTGTGCCTTTTCTTGGTCTGGGTGATGTTTTCTGCATAAAAACAAAGGGGAGCCATGTTGTCATATTTCAGCGCTCTTTTTTGGAGGTACATGAATGGACGGAGGGGATGGGCGTACCCCAGGACGGGGCCTAGTCTGTCCGGACAGCCCGCCTGTTTCGGAGCTGAAACGATTCAGATTACATGTATGCAGGGATGGAGGGAGGCAGAGCTGCAGAGCCTCAGAGAGTGTGATGTGGAGAGGAGAGGCATCAGCCGGCCTGTTGTCAATGAAACTTGGATGGGATGAAGTGCACAACAGAGGTCAATGAGAAAGTGTGGAGACACACTGCAGACTGAAATGTGCATGTTTTGGCAATGATCCACTGATCACATGCTTTAGGTTAGTCCTGACATAAACAATCCTATAGAAGAGAGTGCAACGTTTGCATTAACACATGCACACAATATATCTAAAATCAGAGTCAGTGTAATGCCAAGAGATCAGCTGTTCTTAGAATGGGTGTATGTGGGTGTATGCACTGCAGTAATGTTGTAGTTTATGAGGTTGGTATAATCACTCTGCCCTTCTATTCAAGACTAGGGTGGTACAGCAAGCAACAAAGCTGCCCCCAAAATATGAATCCCAGCAAAGAACACAAGACAAAAAACAACACTGAACCATTGTTCTGTGTGGCAAAGATTAAAATTTATTAACCAAGTACCAACAAAGAGGATCCAGCAATGTTACAGATGCAAGAAGAAAGCAAATGCCATGTAAAAAATAAAAATAGGAATTTTCTTAGTATTAGAAGTTCAGTTATCTGCACAAAACATTTAAGAAAGTAATTAAAATAAATGGGAGAGAATCATTACAGAGCTTCCTTAGCTTTATTAAAAAATAATAATAATAACACTTGCAAAAACTGGAAACAGTTTGAAAAACTGAGCTTCACAGAGCTGCAACAGGTTACCTGCAGGACACATAACTGTAGTAAAGCAGAACAAACAGAAAGCTCAGCGGCCCAATGAGGAGGAACACTTGATCTCAGGATTTAGATGCATCTCCACTGCTGAGCAGATGGTGTTCAGGTGTCTGAGATCAGACAGTCAGTGAATGCAACAATCATGCTAATCATATAATTGCATGTGCTGGTTTAGGCAGTATCACTCACTCATGTGAAAGTAAAGATATGAGATTTGAAAGGACAAGGACATGGGGAATTCTACTTAATTAAATGTTTCTTACATGTACTTATTACGCAGGAGAGCAGAACCATGTTACTGTGCACTGTGTTTTGTTTCAATGACCATTTGAATTTGGCAAAGTTGATCTTATTTTAACAACTTTCTGTACTGTTTGATTTGTGAGTTAGTTGTTATATTTTATAAAAAAAAAAAAGGTCAAGCGTGTTGTGTGCAAAGTCATAATCAGCTGAGTGCATGTTCATGTCAGAAAAGAATTTAGGTAGAAATGGATCAGTATACTGACCAGTGATGATTGATTGGCTGATGTTGATATAATGGCCAACTGGAATTCTTTTACCAGTATTTATCTGTTCTTTCACATTAATTTTGCTCTGGCCAAATATTCAAAGAAAGGAGAAGAAGAGATGAATGCTGTGAAAACAAAATAAGCAAAAAGGGAAAAATATTGGTATTTTTATTTTATTGTTAGGTTTGTGGGATAAATTATTATTTTTAACATCTAACATCCCTGAGTTTCACAGTTTCACAGTTCATTGTTAAACCTAAGAGCACTTTATGTCATGTTATGTAAGGCCACTGTGAGATGTAGCCTATTTTACAAAACAGTTTATTTAAGTAACACTCTTAAATATACTTCACTCACTACTTAAATAAATGCATGTAGTGCCTGCATGTGTATTTCAGGATGTATGGCAAGTTTTTTTTGTCTGAGTGTTTGCAGCCTGTAATCGTGACATGCTATAGGTAACATCTTTCCCTTTCTCCTCAGTGATCTACTGCTTCGTGTACTATCTGTGGATCGGTCACAACTACAACTATGGCTATCTTGCTGGCTTCACTGCCCTGTTCCTGCTGCCAGGTGACAACATCTACAACAAACAGATCAATAAATAACTCTAGAAAAACAAATTGTTATTCATTTTTATAATTCTTTATGATCAGGTTGGGGTCCCCAGTGGCTGAGTTACCTTTGGTACCTGTCAGATGGACGAATTCGCAGGAAGTCTCTCACCTGGACACACATACTGCATCTGGGACTTTTCAAAAGGTAATAATTAATTAATTTAATCAGTCAGTGTCCAATAATCAGGTTTAAGTTCCAGATTTGTATGATCATAAATGAGAAAGGTCTCTCTCTCTCGCTTTGTATAACTCTTAATTTATTTTCATCTTTGGTTTTCACAGGCTGTGGGAGTGCATGCGCCTGCCAGATGAGGATACGTACAGTGAGATCATGCAGCAGGCTGATGCATCTGCCATACGTCTGTTCGAAGCCTTGGTCGTCACCCTCCCCGAGACGCTACTCCACGCTTATGTGCTAATTTGTACTGATATAGGAGTCAAATCTCCAGGTAGTCAGAAACCAGAAAGCGTGTGTTCAAGTTTGATAATAAGATCAGAAAAAGGACATTTAATTAAACTTTAACTCTTTATTGTCATTGCACAGTCATACTTTCTACAATAGTACATAGGAGTAGGAGTACTGTCTCAGATTGGCGGTAAAAGAAAAGCAAGTAATAATCACAATAAATAACATATTTACAGAATAGAATGTGTAATATGTGCAGAATAAAATACACAAAATATGGAGAGATAAAAATATATAATGAAAAAATAAAAGGAGGTAATCAGTTGTTGTAAATTTGGAGTCTGGATAGTATTTGTTGGTGGTGATGTTACTGGTAGCCAGTAACATCACCACTTACTGTCGGAGTGTACCTATGCCTATCTTACAGCAGTGGATAGGTTCATAATGCCTCTCTTATGGCCTTTGGCTATGCAATCAAGATGAAATAAAAGTTTAATGTGAAAGTGCTGCAACAGGACTAACAACCTTCAGCTATAAAAAAATCTCAGTGTTGGATAATTGTTGTAGTCTTTTCTAGCTTAGTCTGCCTGTTCATTTTTTTGTATTATTTCCAGATGGAACTTTGAGCTATTAGTGAAATAAATCCAGTGTGTGCTAACTACTCACTGCTAAGCAGCGGATAAACAAATTTACTCTCAGATAGTTTTGAGAAGATGGTAGGGACTTAAATTAAGATGAATAAGAGAGACCTTAGCTGGCTGTAAGGTCTCTCTTATTCAGAGAGT